TCTCATCTCATCTCATCTCATCTCATCTTATCTCATTTCATCTCATCTCATCTCCTCCCTTTTTTATCAGCCTTTTCTAGACATTTTTTTTAATTTGACATTTTTTACATTTTTTCCACTTATTTTATTTTTGCTCCATATTTTTTTATTTGTTTCTTATTTATTGCTTATTCCTTCAATTTATACTTTTACGTTTTTCTTCACCTACCTCCTTTAATTCCTTACATTTTATCCTGAATAAATTTGACTTTTTCTTTATGTCAGTGTCCTTTTATAGAATTACATATTTCTTGCATGTCTTAGGATTTATTTTTTTATACCATTCATAGCTTCTTTTATCCTCTCTTATATCACCTTGGCGCTACATCTACAATTTAACATATTTCAAATCAGCGGAGAATCAATATTTATTATTTCTTTAAAAAATCTACTAATCAATATTTATACCATAACTTAAAATGCCTCATTATAAAACCTTACATCATATCCCGCTCGGTGTACTGATGAGTCCCTACCTTGATATAGATTGTAGTACAAGCTGATGAAATGAATCTCTTAGATATTAGAAAAGGTAAAATGTAATGGCTTCCTAAGCCTGTTCACATGATTTTCGGTAAATCTCAAATAAAATTATCTAAATTATATTATGTGGCGCAAAGTGATTAACTTCATATATTATTTCCGTTTATGCTGAGCCAATTTATTAATCCATTATTTTTAACTTTTCTTACAAAAATATATTATATTCCTTTTTTTTGGTAAACACTCAGGCAATTTTGTTAAATGAATAGCATACAAAAATGCAACCAAATAGGAGGTTTTATATTTTCTCAGACTTAAGTCACTATTTGCCTCTCAATGCTCATTTCATGTCTAGGTCCTCGGATGAATATGAACGTAATCGATCCCCTTCGCACCGGAGTGGACGACACTTGCACCGAAGTGAGCTCGCGGGCAGCAGGCACTCCACCTCAGCCAACGCCTGTGGTTCCGCCTTCTGTAATCCCAGACGCCAAGTCTGCTAAAGGAAGCAATCCGGTCGCTAGTGATCTCTCCCTACAGCACAGCTCATCGGTTCACTTGTCTGGACAAGTGGCCGTTAGTGGCAGTATCGAAGAGACGCCCACCACCATGCCTGCTAACACTTCGGCCGGCATTGGTAACCTAGGCGACTCGATCATCAACGCTTCGTTCAGAACGGTCCTCACAATTGTTTCCACCGCAGACGACCTGATGCATGTCCTCGGCCAGCGGACAATAGATGCAGTCTGTCAGGCGGTGCGATCAAGTCTTGACCAACTCTGGAGCCTGCTGGCCTGTCGTGAAGCTACACTTGCCCTCAAGGACGTACCACTTGGAAAGATTGTGAAAAAAGGTTTGTCAGCCATTTTGAATTATCTTCAGGATATCTCTGCAATACCTGGTTGGTTTGTATTTGTACATCTCCATGCATGGCTTTTGTCGATACCTCAGAATTTGCAATGCCTTACGTTTTGCTACTAAACAGCTTAAGTTTAGAGTCAATTTTACTTCGATTTTATGCCTAATTGGAGTGCAAAATTAATCGCAATTAATCAGCATGGCAAAAATATTACACGTTTTTGGTAGAGGTGGTATTCAAGTGCGTTAAAGTCTGCTTCTTCAAACCATCTTCTTCAGTTCCACAATTATTCCC